TTTGTACTGGTTCTTTCAAGCAAGGGGACAGAAAATATAGAGGGGCAGGGCATCATGGCTCATGCCTGTAATTCCAGCACTTTGGGAGGCTGAGGTGGGTGGATCACCTGGGGCCAGGAGTTCGAGATCAGCCTGGCAAACAGGGTGAAACCTCGTTTCTACTAAAAATACTCAGGAGACTGAGAAAGAATTGTTTGAACCTGGGAGGTGGAGGTTGCGGTGAGCTGAGATCGTGCCATTGCACTGCAGCCTGGGCAACAAGAGCAAAACTCCATCTCAAAAAAAAAAAAAAAAAAAAAAAAAGAGACACAAGGCTCATATTTTTCCTTTAAAAAATGTTTTCCATACAAATACTCAACATATAATATTCAACTCCCCAGAAGCTTGATCTTTGGAAAATATTCACCCTTAGCCCTCTGGCTCTTTCTGAGAGGCTCCTCTGGGTGGTTTCACAACTGAGGTCAACAGCCCCCACACCCACCCAACCTTTGTTAGGCTACCACCGTGCTGCCCTCTAGAGGACAATATCTGCTGGGCACGGCTGTCTGGCCGTCCGTCCCTTCTGCCATCCTCAACCTGACCTCAAGGAAGGGGCCCCTAGTCCTCTTTGATCCTCGGGCTCAAAGATGGTTTAGGCCCTTCCCCTTCATCCCTCACAGCCCAGAAGAGAACACCAGGCTGGGAAGTGAATGAGACTTTTCCAAAGGGTTGGTTACAGTGGAAGTGAGCAGACCACTGACTAACGCTGGATGGGGCTGTTGGCTGAACTGCCAGCCCCCAACCCTGTCAGAGGCCCCTGCAGCTGGCCTGGCTAACTTCCCTCCCCACCTGCAAGCACTGGGAATGCTAAGGCCTCCCTCTGTTTCTGAGGCCAAACTCTTAGGAAGGGGGTTTTTTTGTCCCCCAGCCTAAAGCTCACCTCACCAGCCCCACGCGGGAAACTCAACTCTCCAGACAGTGGCCGGCCTTGCCTTCGGCAGCATTCCCCACGGGATGCCACACATAGGCCACCTGGCTGCCTGCCTGCCTTCCAGTCCCTTCTTTGCCCTGGCTTCACATTGCCTAAAAGCTGCTGCTGAGAACTCCAAAAGAACAAACAATAATTCTGGGGACACCAGTTGGCCTAATGTTACACAGACTGAAGTAGCATTTCTCTCCAAAAAGCCCCAACATCGGGAGATGGGGAGACGCTGGGTGGCTGAGGCAGGAGGATCACTTGAGCCCAGCCTGGGCAACATAGTGAGACCCCACCTCTAAAAAAAAAAATTAGCCAGGCATGGTGGCACGCATCTACAGTCCCAGCTACTCAGAAGGCTGAGATGAGAGGATCCCTTGAGCCCAGGAATTTGAGGCGGCAGTGAGCCATGATTGCACCACTGCACTCAGCTTGGTGATAAAGCGACTCTGTCTCAAAAAAAAAAGAAGGTACAGCAACCCCTCTTTTTTTTATACTGTTGCACGTATGACCAGTGTTTTTATCTGGAAAGATACTTCCTTTTTCTTTGATGGAACAGGACTTTTCAGTTCCCCCTCTGAGACTGTGTTCAGGTTTCCCCAAAGGGCAAGGGGTGGGTCCTGCCTTTCTACTTGCACTGGGCCTGATAACTTCACAGAGCAAAGCACAGTCTTTCTCGGAGGCCCCACCATCTCCACCCCGGAGGGCAGAAAAGGCTTGTGACATTACATGAGTTTTTCAAATTCCAGAAGCCTGAGAGCTCCATCTTTGCCCCATTAATCCTGTTGGCCAGAGAATGTCCCTGCATCTGCTACTGGCTCTCATGGGTGATGGTTGTGGGGATGGCATGGCCTTGTCTTCAGTGTTATCCAGAAAGGATGAGGGGGACAGGAGTCACAGCAGGAGTATTAGTTCATTCTCACGCTGCTAATAAGACATACCTGAGACTGGGTAATTTATGAAGGAAAGAGAGTTAATTCACTCACAGTCCTGCATGGCTGGGGAGGCCTCAGGAAACTTACAATCATGGCAGAAGGGGAAGCAATCATGTCCTTCTTTACATGACGGAGCAAGGACCACTGCGGAGCAAAAGGGGGAAAAGCCCCTTAAAAACCATCAAATCTCGTGAGAACTCACTATCAGGAGAACAGCAGCATGGGGGAACCACCCCCACAATTCAATTACCTCCCACTGGGTCCCTCCCACGACACGTGGGTATTATAAGAACTACAATTCAAGATTTGGGTGAGGACACAATCAAACCATCCATATCACTAGGGGAGGTGGTATTCTTGTGTTTAAGCAGTAGTAGTGACTGAATCACTACTCCTTGCTCCCCTCTTCCCCCTCCCTCCTCCCCTCTCCCCTCTCCCCCGGGACTGGGCTGATTCAAGGAGTCTTCTGTCTAATTCTCCTCCACCTGGTCTCAATCATTGCTGGTCTCAAAGAGCACTTTGGTGTCTGCCCCCACTGTGGTCTGGGGTACAGGCAGGGTGAGGTGCAGCCATTCCCGGCCAACTTCAGTTCCTGAATGTTACTTCTATTCCTTCTATTTATGTTACAGGCAGGGAAAACGTAGAAGCACTTAGACAAACATTTGCAATCTTCAAGGGAGTTCCCTTGAGTTTTTGCTGACTTTTACAACTGTGATCCTGAGAGGAGAAAAGGAGTTTTTGTTCACAGGTGGACTCGCTGAAACACCAACCTAAAGGGCCACCCGTGGAGGTCTTTCCTTCGTGGTTCCCATTTGCCTAGCAGGAGTTCCCTAATGGGCCTACGTCACCTCAGGCCTAGGCCGGCTTGTGGCTCGCTTGCCGGCCAGTAGCAGGTCACGTGGGTTGTGGCGTCAGTAGTTAAAAGTGCAGTAAAAAATAACAGTAATAAAGTAGATGGGGAAATGTTCACATGCATCACAGGTAGTAAGATAAGTATTACTTCATTAAACGTTTGCTTCAGTTGTGTGTGTGTGTGTGTGTACACTGGATTACAATACAAAAATGCATCTTTCAACTGGGCGCAGTGACTCATACCTGCAATCCCAGCACTTTGGGAAGCTGAGGCAGTAGGATCGCTTAAGCTCAGGAGTTTGAGACCAACCTGGGCAATATAGTGAGACCTCTCTCTACTAAAAATCAAAAAAATTAGCTGGGTGTAGTGGCACCTGTCTGTGGTCCCAGCTACTCGGAAAGCTGAGGTAGCAGGATCGCTTGAGCCTACAGTGAGTCATGATGGCGCCACTGCACTCTAGCCTGGGCAGCAGAGTGAGACCCTGTCTCAAAAAAGAAAAAAAACAAAAAAAAAAGCCACTGGGTGCAGTGGCTCATGCCTGTAATCCCAGCACTTCGGAAACCAGAAGCGGGAGGATCACGAGGTCAGGAGTTCGAGGCCAGCCTGGCCAACATGGTGAAACCCTGTCTCTACTAAAAATACAAAAATTAGCCAGACTTGGGTTTGGGAGCCTGTAATCCCAGCTACTTGGGAGGCTGAGGCAGCAGAATTGCTTAAACCCAAGAGGTAGAGGTTGCAGTGAGCCAAGACCATGCCGTTGCACTCCAGCCTAGGCAACAAGAGCAAAACTCCAACTCAAAAAAAATAAAAAAAAAAACAAAAAAAAAACCAACATCTTTTCTGTCAGTCATGATCATATTTGAAAGTCAGTGTCGGCTGGGCATGGTGGTTCATGCCTGTCATCCCAGCACTTTGGGAGGATCACTTGAGGTCAGGAGTCCGAGACCAGATTGGCCAAGATGGCAAAATCCCATCTCCACTAAACAAAACTTAGCCAGGCATGTTGGCATGCCTGTATTCCCAGCTACTCAGGAGGTTGAGGCTGGAGAATCACTTGAATCTGGAAGGTGGAGGTTGCAGTGAACTGAGATGGTGCCACTGCACTCCAGCATGGGCGACAGGGTGAGACTCCATCTCAAAAAAAAAAAAAAGTAATGGCAAAACCCGCAATTACTCTTGCACCAACCTAATATTAGCTGGGTATGGTGGCATGTGCCTGTAGTCCCAGCTACTCAGGAGGCTGAGATGGGAGGATCCCTTGAGCCCAGGAGGTCGAGGCTGCAGTGAGCCAGGATCAGTATGCACTGCACTCCTGACTGAGCGACAGAGCAGACCCTGTCTCTAAAACAGAAAACAAACAAGCAAACAAAACCAAGAAACCTATAGCAAAATACCATACCTACTGGTGAAAGACTGAACGCTTATTATTTTTTTTGAGACAGGGTCTCAAAATGAGGTGAGGATGTCCACTTTTTTTGGTTTTGTTTTGTTTTTGAGATGGAGTCTTTCTCTGCCGTGCAGGCTGGAGTGCAGTGGCGTGATCTCGGCTCACTGCAAACTCTGCCTCCCCGGTTGAAATGACTCTCCTGCCTCAGCTTCCCAAGAAGCTGGGACTATAGGCATGAGCCATCACACTGGGCTAACTTTTGTATTCTTAGGAGAGATGGGGGTTTCATCATGTTACCCAGGCTGATCTCAAACTCCTGACCTCAGTCAATCCACCCACCTTGGTCTCCCAAAGTGCTGAGATTACAAGCATGAGCCACTGAGCCTGGCCAGGATGTTTACTCTTACCACTTTTGTTTAACATAGTACTGGAAGTTCTAGCCAGAGCAATAAAGCAAGAAAAAGAAAAAAAGCCATACAGAGTTGAAAGGAAGAAATAAAACTGTCCTTATTTGCAAACAACACAATTTTCTATGTAGGAAATTCCAAATAGTCTACTCCCAAATTCCTAGAACTAAGAAGTGTGTTTAGTAAGGTCACAGGATGCACGATCGATACACAAAAATCAACCACATTTCTATACATTAACTATTGTGAAAGGAAAATATCTTGGGCCCCCAAAATCACTAAGCTAAAGGGAGAAGTCAAGCTAAAAACTGCTTAGGGCAAACCTGCCTTCCACTCTATTCAAAGTCACCCCTCTGCTCACTGAGATAAATGCATATCTGATTACCTCCTTTGGAGAGGCCAATAAGAAATTCAAAATAACGCAATCTTTTTTCTCTTATTTGCCTAAATCTGAAAGCCTAAATCTTCCTTCGAGTTGTCACGCCTTTCCAGACCAACCCAATGTTCATCTTACACATGTTGATTGATGTCTCATGTCTCCCTAAAATGTGTAAAACCAAACAAACTGTGCTCTGACCACCTTGGGCACATGTCAGGACCTCCTGAGGCTGTGTCATGGGTTCACGTCCTCAAGCTTGGCAAAATAAACTTTCTAAATTAACTAAGACTGTCTGATTTTGGGGGTTCACACAGTGAACACATGGAAACTGAAATTCAAAACACATCATTTGCAACCACTCCAAGGAAAATGAAATACCTAGGTATGCATTTAACAAAGCATGTACAGGATCTGTTCAAAATGCTGATGAAAGAAATCAAAGAAGGCTGGGAACGGTGGCTCACGCCTGTAACCCCAACGCTTTGGGAGGCTGAGGCGGGCAGATCATGAGGTCAAGAGATCAAGACAAGCCTGGCCAACATAGTGAAACCTCGTCTCCACTACAAATACAAAACTTAGCAGGGCGTGGCGACAGGTGCCTGTAATCCCAGCTACTTGGGAGGCTGAGGCAGGAGAATTTCTTGAACCTGGGAGGGCAGAGGTTGCAGTGAGCTGAGATCATGCCACTGTACTCCAGCCTGGGCGACAGAGCAAGATTCCATCTCGGAAAAAAAAAGAAAAGAAAAAAGAAATCAAAGGAGATCTAAATAAACAGACATACTGTACTCAGGGGCTGGAAGAATCAACATAGTAAAGATGTCAGTTCTCCACAAATGGTTCTACAGGAGTAATGCAATTCCTATATCACAGTCTCAGCAAGGTTATTTGTAGACATAGACAAGCTGATTCTAAAATGTATATGGAAAGACACAGTCCCTAGAATAGCTAAAGCAATCTTGACAGAGAAGAATAAAGTGGGAGGAATCATTCTACGTGATACTAAGGCTAACTATATAGCTACAGTAATCATGACAGTGTGGTATGGTCAGAGAGATAGGAACATAGAAACATAGATCAATGAACAGAATAGAAAATGCAGACATATGTCCAGGTGCAATGCTTCACACCTGTAATCCCAGCACTTTGGGAGGCAGAGGCGGGAGGATTGTTTGAGCTTAGGAGTTCAAGACCAGCCTCGCAACATAGTGAGACCTTGTCTCTACTAAAAATAAAAATAAAAATAAAAATAATAAATTAGCTGGGCATAGTGGCATGTGCCGGTAGTCCCAGCTATTTGGGAGGCTAAGGTGGGAGGATCTCTTGAGCCTGGGAGACTGAGGCTGCAGCAAACAATTATCGTGCCACTGCACTCCAGCCTGAGCAACTCAGTGAGACCCTATCTCAAAACAAAAAAAGTAAGAAAACCCAGACGTAGACCAATGCAAATATGCTCAGCCAATTTTTGACAAAAGTGCAAAAACAGTTCGATGGAGGATTTTAAGACATCTAGCTACATAATCAAGGCTGTGTGATACTAGTAGAGAGATAGACACACAGAAAAACAGAACACAGTAGAGAATCTAGAAATAGAGCCACACAAATATGCCCAGCTGACTTTTAACAAAGGTGCAAAAGTAAATCAATGGAGGCTGGGCACGGTGGCTCACGCCTGTAATCCCAGCACTTTGAGAGGCTGAGGCTGGTGGATCACTTGAGTAGTTCAGTTTGAGAGCAGGCTGGCTAACATGGTGAAATCCTGTCTCTACTAAAAATACAAAAATTAGCCAGGCTTGGTGGCAGGCCCCCATAGTCCCAGCTACTCAGAAGGCTGAGGCAGGAGAATCCCTTGAACCTGGGAGGCGGAGGTTGTAGTGAGCTGAGTTTGCACCACTGCACTCCAGCCTGGGTGACAGAGTGACTCCACCTCAAAAAAAAAAAAAAAAAAAAAAGGTAAATCAATGGAGAAATGAGACCCTTTGCAGTAAATGGTGCTGGAACAATTGAACATCCATAGGCAAAAAAGAGAACCTTTAATCTAAACTCACACCTTAGATAAGAATGAACTCAAAATGAATCATGAAGTTAAATGTAAAATATAAAATTATAAAACCTTTAGAAAAAAATAGAAAATCCGTGGGCCCTAGGGCTAGGCAGAGTTCTTAGACTTGAGGAAAAATTGACAAATTCTATCTCATCAAAATTAAAAAATGTTGTTCTGCAAAAGCCTGTTTAAATAGGATGAAAAGAAAAGATATGACCTGGAAGAAAATATTTGCAAACCACATATCCCACAAAGGAATCTCAAAACTTTATGGTAGGCTGGGAATCCCAGCACTTTGAGAGGCTGAGGCAGGCAGATCACGAGGTCAGGAGTTCAAGACCAGCCTGACCAATATAGTGAAACCTCGTCCCTACTAAAACTACAAAAACTAGCTGGGCGTGGTGTTGGGCGCCTGTAGTCCCAGCTACTCAGGAGGCTGAGGCAGGAGAATTGCTTGAACCTGGGAGGTAGAGGTTGCAGTGAGCCGAGATAGTGCCATTGCACTCCAGCCGAGGTGACAAGAGCAAGACTGTCTCAAAAGAAAAAAAGAAAGAAAAAAAAGAAACAAACTCTGTTTTTTTTTGTTTTCTCCTGCTCCCTACTAGTAATTTTCATTTATATATATATATTTTTTGCTTTCTCTAGTTTTTTTAAACTGTTTTTTCTTTTTTTGAGATGGAGTTTTACTCTTGTTGCCCAGGCTGGAGTGCAATGACATGATCTCGGGTCACTGCAATGTCTGCCTCCCGGGTTCAAGCACTTCTCCTGCCTCAGCCTCCCAAGTAGCTGGGATTACAGGCATGCGCTACCACGTCTGGCTAATTTTGTATTTTTAGTAGAGACGGGGTTTCTCTATGTTGTCCAGGCTGATCTGGAACTCCCGACCTGAGGTGATCCACCCGCCTTGGCCTCCCAAAGTGCAGGGATTACAGGCATGAGCCACCACGCCTAGCCTAAACTTTGTTTTCTAGATTGTTTTCTTTCTCTAGTTTTATTTATTTATTTTTCTTTGTTGTTTTACTTTTGTTCTTCTCTAGTTTTAAAATCCATTCATCAAGTATACACCTACTATGTACCCATGAAAATTAAAAATTAAAACATAAAATTAAATACATTCATCAACAAAACAAAACATTGTGAATTGTGTCACCAGAAGCTCCTCCCAGGGATGTGAAACTTTTCTCTCTCAAGCTGAGCGGTGACATTGCGTGTTTGCCTGGCATGGTTTTGACCTTATAAAACAGCATCCTGTGGTTAGGAGCTGGTCTCTAGGTGAATGAATCCACTATGGCATTTTAGTAATTTCAGGTGATGGCTGACGAGGAACGGCTTACGCTTTCTGGTTTCTCCAGCACATGGCTGACATGACAGGGCTTACTCCTTGTGATTTAGGTGGCAGTTGCAGGAACAGTCTTCTGGAAAGACAAAACCAGCATCATTTGTCTCACCTCTCCTCGGAGTGCTGAAGCTTCCCTTTCCTCATTAGGAACATTCCTTTTACTTCACGGAGCTATTGCGAAGAATGAAAAACAGAAATAGCTGGGGAGCACTTCTTGCCAGCCAAGGAAATGTGAGTCACCACTTGGGGCTCAAGTAGAATTGGGCTCAGCTGTGAGTAACATAAACCCTGAAATACCAGTGGCTTAAACGAGGTAGATGTTTATTCCTGTCTCGTAATAAAGTGCAGGAGTGTGACAACACAGATGATCATGGAGAACATTATGCAAGTGAAATTAACCAGTCATAGAAGGACAAACACTGCAGGATCTCACTTATATGTGGAATCTAAAAGAGACAAACTTGAAGAGTGGAGTTGAGTGGAGTGGTGCTTTCCAGGGCTGGGCAGGAGGGTTGGGGAGATGTTGGTCGAAGGGTAGAAAATTTGTACCTCAAGGGATCTATTATTAAAATGTGACTATAGTTAATAAAAATGTATTGTATACTTGAAAATTGCTGAGATAATAGATTTTTTTCTTTCTTTCTTTTTCTTTTTTTTTTTTTTTTTTGAGATGGAGTTTGGCTCTGTCGCCCAGGCTGGAGTGCAATGGTGCTGTCTCGGCTCACTGTAACCTCCGCCTCCCAGGTTCAAGCAATTCTCCTGCCTCAGTCTCCCAAGTAGCTGGGATTATAGGCGCCCGCCACCACACTTGGCTAATTTTGTATTTTTAGTAGAGACAGGGTTTCACCATGTTGGCCAGGTGGGTCTCGAACTCCTGACCTCGTGATCTGCCCGCCTCGGCTTCCTAAAGGGCTGGGATTACAGGCGTGAGCCACCGCACCTGGAGAGAGTAGATTTTTTTCTTTTCTTTTTTCTTTCTTTTTTTTTTTTTTTTGAGACAGTCTCACCCTGTTGTCCAGCCTGGAGTGCAGTGGCGCAATCTCAGCTCACTGCAACCTCGGCCCCATGCCTTAGTCTCCCAAGTAGCTGGGACTACAGGTGTGTGCCACCATGCCTGGTTAATTTTTGTATTTTGGTAGAGACAAAGTTTCACCATGTTAGCCAGGTTGGTCTCGAACGCCTGGCCTCAAGTGATCCCACACCTCAGCCTCCCAAGGTGCGAGGATTACAGCCGTGAGTCACCATAGCTGGCCAGAGATTAGATTTTTAAATATGCCACAAAACAATGATGTGAGGTAATGGATGATATGTTAATTAGCTTGATTTAGCCATTCCACAATGTATACATACACTGCAACATCATGTTGTACACCATAAATATATACACTTTTTATTTTTTTAGACACAGGGTGTCACTCTGTGGCCCAGGCTGAAGTGCAGTGGCGTTATCATAGCTCACAGCAGCCTCCAACTTTTGAGTTTAAGTGTCCTGCTTCAGCTTCCTGAGTAGCTGGGACTACATGCATGTGCCACCACGCCCAGCTACTTAGAAAAAAATTTTTTTTTTTAGACATAGTACTCTCACTGTGTTGCCCAGGCTGGTCTTGAACTCCTGGCCTCAACTGATCCTACCACCTGAGCCTCCCAAAGCACTGGTATTAGAGGTTCGAGCCACAGCACCCGGCTTACACTTTTTATTTGTCAATTAAAAATAAATAACTAGGCTGGACTGGTGGCTTACGCCTTTAATCCAGCATTTTGGGAGGCCAAGATGGTTGGATCGCCTGAGGCCAGGAGTTTGAGACCAGCTTGGCCAAAATGGTGAAACCACGTCTCTACTAAAAAGACAAGAAAAATTAGATGGGCGTGGTGGCGCACGCCTGTAATCCCAGCTACTTGGGAGGCTGAGTCAGGGGAATCGCTTGGACCCAGGAGGTGGAGGATGCAGTGAGCCGAGATCGTGATACTGCACTCTAGCCTGGGCAACAACAGCAAAACTCAGTCTCTAAATAAGTAAGTAAGTAAATAAAAGTAAATAAATAGAGAGTCCAGGGGAAGGAAGCCTGGAGCCTGTGTGGTAGCTTTACCCATAAAGCCCTGAAGGACCCAGATTCCTCATATATTATAACTCCATTGAGTATGATTTCTAGTCTCACAGTCATCTTATGAACCAAGGGGGCTGCCAGAGCACCAGCCAACACATTCCAGCCAGAAGGAGAGGAAAAAGGCAAAGAATATGTCTTCTTCTATCAAGAATATTATCTGTAGGTTGCACATACCCCTCTATTCACATTCATTGACCAAACCTTAGTCACCTGGCTGGGTGCAGTTGCTCACACCTATAATCCCAGCACTTTGGTGAAACCACAGGCGTGTGCCACCACACCCAGCTCATTTTTGTATTTTTTTTTTTTTTTTTTTTTGTAGAGACAGCGTTCTGCTATGTTGCCCAGGCTAGTCTTGAACACCTGGGCACAAGTGGTCTTCCCACCTCAGCCTGCAGAAGTGTTGGGATTATAGGTGTGAGCCATTGCACCCAGCCCAAACTTCCGTTATTTAGTTGGGTACATGACCAAATAGAATAACAATTACATTTCCCAGCTTCCCCTGTGTTTTGGCTTGGTCACGTGACTAGGGTTTGCTGGTTGATTTTTTTTTTTTTTTTTTGGGACAGAGTCTCACTCTGTCGCCGAGGCTGAAGTGCAGTGGCCTCCCAGGTTCAAGTGATTCTCAAGCCTCAATCTCCTGAGCAGCTGGGACTACGGGCACCCAATACCGCCACTATTTTTGTGTTTTTAGTAGAGACGGGATTTCACCATATTGGCCGGGATCGTCTGCAACCCCTGACCTCAGGTGATCCACCTGCCTCGGCCTCCCAAAGTGCTGGGTTCACAACGTGAGCCACCGTGCCCAGCCCAGCACTACCTTCTTTTTTATGGCTCAATTATATTCCATTGTGTGGATGCACCGCATTGTGTTTGTTCATTTGCCATCAGTTGATGGCTCTTGGAACATTTTGTATATATATATTTTTGAATTTGTACAAATGTA